AGGCCTCGTGTAGCCCTTCATTTAATCAGGTCGGTCGATCGAATCTCGCGCGGCGACCCCCTCCCCCCCCTCCGGAAATACCTGGCGTGCGTGTGCTCCACCCTTTCGGTTCTCCAAGGACCGACGCGACGAGATACTTGATTATCGTCTTCCACAGAGATCTTTATCCTACGGTGTACGCAAGTGCGTACGCACGCACGTGGGCTTCCCTGAGAACGGTTACGGAGATATTTGAACGTCCATTCAAACCCACGGGTGTGACATACCAAGAGCAATTTATTACCGGAAATTTCTTCCCTGTTTGTTGCGTAGAACCGCGCCTGGTTCCACGTCACTCGAAGGAACTCGTAGACGGAGTCACGTTTACGGAGGTCGCCCGCCGGTGTGAATGGACTGACGCCGACGTTCTGGAGGACACACCAGCGTGTAGTTATTTGAAAGTATAAAGAATTCTACGTTTGCCGGAATTTTATCCACATTTCCGCTGCTGCGTAGTAGCCGGTAATATGTGATGCGTAATACATTAAAACGTGACGATTTAAGAAATAGATAATCAAAAGATGTAATTTGATTATTTCAAATGTGATGTGTGTGCATTTCTTATCGATTAGATTATAATTTATTATAATTAGAGTTTCAATGTCATGAAACGATGTGCGAATTCGAAAACAGGTAGATAAAGTGTTAATTCATGGAATTGTTCGGTATAGGAATTGAAAAAAATATTCGGCAACTTCCAGACAGAGATCGGGCTCTTTTTTTTTTTTTTTTAAGAACAATATATTATTATTGTTTCTTTTTCTTGTGCATTTCTCTTTCTTCAGATCGAACTGTAAAAAAGGGGCGTGGGATGATTTTAAGCGATTGAAATTGTTATAATACGTCCGAATTCTGCCTGATTCCTACGACTGATTCACCCGTGAGATATTTGCGGATCGGAGCTGGTTCCACAGAAGATTTTCACTCTGAGCGTAGATGAGAGGATGGGCGGGAAAGAGGTAGGGGGCGGACGACTTGTCCGAAAAGGATTTACGATCGGCAAAAACGCGCTCTCGCAGAATTTCGCCATTGCAGCCGACCGACCAACCGTCCGAGGCGACGAGAGAGCCGGCCGACGCTTCGGTCCTTTCGATTTCGTTCTCGTTGCGGGATTGTAACTTTGATGCCCGACTCTTGCCGCGGGAAAAGCATAAAGATAAAAATAACAATTTTCGACGATCTCCTTGGCTGCCAAAAGAAGAAAGTTTGTTGGCGCGTTCGCGGAGAGAGAAATTAATACGATCGCTGTATAATTTTCAATCAAGATATGCAACGATAACGTGTAATTATGTATTAATTATGTATTAACTAATACGAATTTTTTTAACATTAATTTTGTGAGATGTCGAATTGTAAAGCGTGTCTATTTTAAAACTCATAATTATTGCGTATTGAAAATATGGAAAGAAAGTATAATATAACATGTGAAATCATAATTTATGTAACTCTGACATAGAGCGAGATTTGTTTTTTAATATTACAAGATTATCCGATATACGCTGATAATAAGAAATGACGGAGCGGCGTCAAGTCTACATCTGTTTTCAAGAGGGCCGCAAACTGCATCCTAATTTTCACACATGCACAGTGCATGCTGGTGAATGGCGAATGTTATAGGGTCAATGGCGCGTAGAAACGGCATCGTAGTACCGTAAACAGATTCGTATTCTTAGACAGGATTTTAGGGGTCAGCCACCATACGCTGTTAAGCCATTAACGACGATATAAAATCTACTCGCTAACACGCGCGACGATGTTCCGCAATTTCCGCGCTGTTTATTCAGCGTCGCTGGTAGATCGTATGGCGAGTGTCTGATCTCTATTCTGCGACTGAAAATAGCAATATCTATTAATCCCGCGAACGATTTCATCCATCTGTTTCGTTAGTTTTTTTATTGTTAATAAAATTAACAACTTGGAATCAAAACAACGGTATACTTTGATATGGTAAATAGATATACAGACATTATGAAACTGACAGACATTATCAGACATGTACGACTGCTTCTTTTATTTTGAAATAATACTATTTAATCGCTTCAGTATCAAGATAATAAAGTGTTTTAACAGTATCTATTTAGTATTTATTAAGATAATATGTTGATATAGTAGTAGAGATACATATATATTACAGTCAGACATAAAACTGTTCTTTTCTACTTTGAAATGATATGAAAGACTATTTCTTTTATTTAGAGATAATATATATAATTTCGCTTTAGTAACAAACTAATAAAATGTTTTCAAAGTATTATGTATTTATTCATAATATATTTATTTACATAGCATATTGATATGGCAGTAGATACAGACATTATATGGTCAGACATATAAGGCTATTTCTATTACCTTAAAATATGTAATCTTATTACTTTTAATATCAAGATAATAAATTGTTTCTGACAATATTATATCTACTTGATATTTATTTAATATTTTGATATGCAGTATAGATTGCAGACATTGCTAGATATGTAAGATGTACTGTCCCTTTTCTACTTACAATTACAAATAATATGTGATTTAATCATTTCAATATTAAGAGAGAGATATTTTTAAATATATTATCCCTTTCAAGTAATATATTATTTATACATTATCAAGAATTGTGCATAATTTTAAACTTAAACCATGTAAAGATTAAAAAAATAAATGTCAAATACTTACGTAACTTAAAATCCGTTTCGAACAAATTTAACTTTTACGTATTGATATTTGAGAGCGTTTTTAAAATCACGTTATCTTTTGTACTTTTGTAAACTGCATGCTTAAATTTCTTACATAACTTTGCTCAAAGTTTATTTTAAAGTAAGGATGTTAATAAAGTAAGAATACCGATTACCAGCACTTACGTCTTGATTTACGATCGAGTTTGCGTCGTGAGTACATATTTTCGTGCGCGTAAGTCGACGTGCAACTGCGAAGAAATCTCGAAGCGAAAGTGAGAACGTGTCTTCGCCGTCACACATATTCAGTAGCGTGTTCTAGTGCACAAACTCCTGCTCGCGCTGTCAGTGAAAACCGCTGGTGCGATAGCCCGTGGAATGGAACGCAAGGGAAATGAGGAAAATCGGGCACCGATGAAAGTGAGAGGACGCCGGCTACAGGGTGTCTCAGGCGGCTTATTTCGCAGCCGACCGCGAGAGAAAGGAGTTCACCTCTAATGGAGTGGCTGGTCCAGTGCTCGGTCCGCGCGATCGATGGAAAACGAAAAAGGCGCAGTGGCGGAGGTTGACCGTTAGCGAAGTTTCGGAATCTTTTCATTGTCCAAGTTTCAAAGTACAACTCTAAAAAGAAAGAAAAAAAAAAAGTACAGTCGTAACGTCGTGCGTGAAATAATCGAAAACAAAATGGCATAATGGCGAACAAGGCATTAATATGGTATATTTTGAAGTTTTGAATTTTTTTTTTTTTATTATTCGAGCCTCAAAATGCATTTGCGAGAAATGCGATATCACATTGAAGAAATTAAAATGTCGAAAAAGAAAAAGGTGCATTGTAATTTAAGTTTCTGTAAGTAAATAACTGACTCGATGATACAGCTTTGTTAATAGAATTCTCGAGAAACGAACTCTCGCAGTGCATTTATATAATTTTATTTATCGCACTAACGGAAAATAAATTTCTCACGTTCGCCAGGATTGTTTTCTCGCTACGCCCATGACCTAGACATCAGACCTACTTGCGGATTCTCGAATGCAGAATTGATATGCGCGTTTTACACTGCACGATGACGGACGGATTAAGTCGGAGACGAACGGAGAGAAACTTTCACGTTTGCTCTCGCGCGTGTGATTTTTTTTCCTTTCTTTCTTTATTTTTTTATATTTCTTTAACATGCATTGTGCCCTGTTAGAGCTGGGCGCGCGCGATCGCCTCAAGATTTCGTAAGGCGATTGTTCGAATCGTTACGTCAACGGCGAACTAATTCCATATAATACAATCCGGCTAGGCCTACGGTGTGGAGTTTATAGTGTCGTAAAGTCCCACATTTTATACGCCGTAAGTTATTCCAAACGACATTACTTGCATTACGTCCGAGGCGCGCGCTTTCGTCTCGCCGCTTTTCTCGTCTAACTCGAACTTGATTGGTTGTTATTTATTCGCTGTTACAAATACACACGGAGAGAAAGAGAAGAGAGAACTAGAGTTCTCGTAAACCTTTCTCCCGGATAGCAGAGATTAAATAACTGCTGGATGCGGGCCTTGAGATTTGTGTTCGCGCTCGCGAAACTTAAAGAGATTCCGAGGAAGGCACAACGTCGGACGATCTACATGATTGCAGTTCTAAATAATGCAGCGAGACGCATAAGTCGGGAATTTGAATTCGCGCGAATTTTTTTACCGAAAATTACTTAACGAATTTTTATAACATCGACGTTATTAAACGCATTAAGATGATCAAGCTTAGAAGTTCGAAAGAAGTTGGAATGCGATTAATTGTATGTATACATGTACGTATGTATATACGAACGTTATTTAATAATTTATTTTCTTCTGGTTACAGATTGATCATACGAACGTAAGATTTTTGAGAAGTCAAAAGATTCTTCTGACAAGGAAGGATTCTGGCTAGAGTTCGCGGGGGTGCTAACGATAGAAGAAAGGAACGATCACTTTATCGCGCACATAACGAAGTGAGAGAGAATAATGGCGGGCGAGGACACACAAATTTTGTCGAACGGCAATGGGGAAGTGCTCACAATCATCCCGCCGAAGATGACGAACGGGAACGGGCTGATCTGCGGCGACAAGCAGCACAATAACAATGGCTTGATAGCGAATGGGAAGTTACATGGAATCGGCGGTACGGAGAACGGCAATCTGATCGTGCCGGATGAGAGGTCGAGCAGCCTTCACACGGAGTTCGACGATGCCGACGTGTCCTGCGGATGGGGCCCGTGCAGGCCTCACTGGCTGCAGTACTTCGCCACGAAGCAGGCCTTCCTAGTGACCTTCTGCCTTACCTGGGTCAGTACGCCAAAGAAATTTTATAATATTTTAAGGTGTAAATCAACTGATTAGATAATTACGTATAATAGATACCTAGGAATGGAAGTAAATGAGTAAAAAGTAAAGTGAGATAAGTTAAAGGAGACAGTGATATCGATTTCGAAGAATAATATTAAAGGATTAATTTTGTAATTTTTTTTTTTTTAGACGGAAGGACAAAGAATAGATTTTTTTTCTGATTATTTTAACGAACAATTTTATTAAATAAAATCTACGAGTTTATCTTGACAATTTGGCGTAAAATCATCTTTATTTATTTATTTATTTTTTTTGCTATTGTAGGTGCTTCAGGGTATGTATTACACATACTTCGTCTCCGTCA